CAGCGTACTTTAAACTATAAAATCACCACAATTTCAGAAAAAAATTTCAGCCGTTTCATAAACACTTTAAGGTTTTCGATAAATTCCAATTCCCAAAGTTTCCAAATAATATAATGTTTCCAATTACTGTTGATTTTGACAATTATTGCAATTTTTGACGAAAAAATTCGTCGCGACGGCGCTACTATTTCTGTAAAGGTTGATTTTTGTTGCAGTGTGGAATTTATAGTTATTCTGTTGAACGCTATGCGATTTTCAAGTCATCTTAATGTATAATTTCTCACATTTTATTCAATATTTTGTAAAGGCCTGTAAAGTTATAATACTTTGTAGTATATTTATAGCGCGTGTTACTATATTTAGAGCGTGATGTTTGTCAAGTGTACAACTGGCTCACATTTTATCAGCAGTGCAAGCATTGACCCATGGGCACAACAACAAAAACTTGTCAAACTTGTTTTACCGGTTGAGAATTTAATGTATTCGTCCGTGAATCTAGACGGCGGCTACATGAAACGATCGTTCGTTTGCTCGCAGTGGTTTCTCCTCAGTTCAGAAACCACTGCCAGTAGGGTAAAGGGATTTGAAAAGTATACGGGTAATTTCTGTTACTTTGGACTACCGGTCTGCAATTTTAATTATATTTTACATACAGTGCAGAGGATTTCAAAAGTATCAGAATTTCTGATACTTTGGACTACCAGTCTGCAATTTAAGTATATTTGAGATACAGAGGATTTTAAAAGTATCAGAATTTCTGATACTTTGAACTACCGGTCTGCAATTTTAAGTATATTTGGCATACAGTACAGAGGATTTCAAAATTATCAGAATTTCTGATACTTTGGACTACCAGTCTGGAATTTTAAGTATATTTGAGATACAGAGGATTTCAAAAGTATCAGAATTTTTTATACTTTGGACTACGAGTTTCTGCAGTTGAAGTATATTTCACAAAAAAGAAAATTGAAAAGTATAAGAATTTCTGATAGGATTTCCAAAGTATCAGAATTTCTGATACGTTGGAATACCAGTTTCGATTCTGCAGTTTTAAGTATATTTCACATATAAGGGATTTGAAAAGTATCAGAATTTTTGATACTTTGAACTACCAGTCTCTGCAGTTTTAAGTATATTTGAGATACAGACGATTTGAAAAGTATCAGAATTTCCGATACTTTGGACTACAAGTTTCTGCAGTTTTAAGTATATTTCAGATATAAGGGATTTGAAAAGTATCAGAATTTCTGATACTTCGCACTACCGGTCTGCAATTTTAAGTATATTTGACATACAGTGTAGAGGATTTCAAAAGTATCAGAATTTCTGATACTTTGGACTACCAGTCTGCAGTTTTAAGTATATTTGAGATTGAGAGGATTTTAAAAGTATCAGAATTTCTGATACTTTGGACTACCAGTCTGCAGTTTTAAGTATATTTTACATATAAGGGATTTGAAAAGTATCAGAATTTCTGATACTTTGAACTACCGGTCTGCAGTTTTAAGTATATTTAAGATACATAGGATTTCAAAAGTATCAGAATTTCTGATACTTTGAACTACCAGTCTCTGCAGTTTTAAGTATATTTGAGATACAGACGATTTCAAAAGTATCAGAATTTCTGATACTTTGGACTACCAGTCTCTGCAGTTTTAACTTTGAATTATATTCGAGATATACAGGGTTTCAAAAATTGTAGGTATATTTCGGAAATTGTGTATATTTTAATTGGAGCATCTCATTGTCTTTAAAATTTTATGTTGCTTAATAAGGTGCATCTATATTTTCGCATTTCCAAGATGATGTTCTGTAATTTTCTTATTCGTAATTCTTGGTAGTCCGTATCCTTTATTTTTGCAGAAAAAAATTTATGGTCAGCAAGATTTTTTGAAAACTGATTGTTTATGTTCACGAGTTTTTCTATGGAAACAGTTTTCGCGCTTTAAGCGCGATTTTACATCTTGCTTTTTTCTCAAATATCAATTTTTTCGACTTATTCTACAGATAGTATAAAGCCATTCAAACATTTTTAAGACGTTTTTTTATATTTGCGGAAAATTAGCACAAAATCTGCAAAATGAGAAGAAAATAGCCAAAAAAATGAATTTTGGAAAATGTAAAGATAGTTTGGAACGCGTTGGCCAAATGGAACGCAATTAGGAACGCGTTCCGGACGCGTTCGTGACGCGTTCCGAACGCGTTTTCTGTTAGGTTATTTCTGAGCAGTACTGTATATCCATACATGTCAACGAACATCAACTTGCCCGTGAACGCACCTTTAAATATCTAGGTATAACTTTCTCAGAAAATCTCACTTGGTCTGACCATTTAAAAAGTCAACCAAAATTAACCAACGCATTACGCATCGGACTGCTAAGAAGAATTAAAACCTTCATTCCACTCAAAACTAGACTTATCATCTACAACGCTCTTATTATTCCATTATTTGACTACGGAGATATTATATGGGGTGACAAGAATAACTCCTCTTTAATGGATCAACTACAAGTTCTCCAGAATAAGGCTGCAAAGACCATCCTTGACGCTCTCTACCTATCCTCATCCACTGAAGCCCTCGACAAATTACACTGGCATTTACTTACCCACCGACGCAAACTACACCGAATACTAACCATATATAAATTTAAAAATAATTTAACTGAGTTTAATCTCGAACTGCCTAAAACTAATCATTTATATAACACAAGACGCAGAGATGATATATACATAATACATCTGTAAGCCTAAGACAAACTGAGGAAAGCAAAAACTGCTTAATACCAGGCTTGTAAAGAGTAGGCTACAACGATTTGGACTATAATACTAGATCCATTGAACAGTTAGGAACCTTTAGGAATGAACTTCTCAAATCTCTATCTTTATAATACTCACACAGTATATTTAAAATATAACTTACTAACTTTTTGTATCCTTGTAAATATGTATAGCGTCATGTATCCTATAGTCCCATAATATTTCTGGTATCTCATATATATCCATATATTAATATGTAAATACTGCACGCACACTATATATATATATATATATATATATATATATATATATATATATATATATATATATATATATATATATATATATATATATATATATATATATATATATATATATATATATTCTATATTTTGTATTTTAATGTTTTGCAGGAACCATCTGAAAAACACTTCTTGTGATGTTGGTTTCCTGAATAAATATTATTATCATTCATCAGCGCTGCAGACTGCAGAGGAGAGTGGCACGATCCCATGGAAAACCATTCACCCCTCCTTGCGAATGAGGCTAGATCAGCTCCCCCCGGCCTGCAGTCACTGTATCCTACTT